CGAGAACCTTTTTGAAGGCAGAAAGGGTATTTCTAATTGGGTTGGCTAATGTGATATTCTGATAGAGACATGCAGGAAGAGCTAATACAAGCACACTAGAGGGGAGTGGGGGGAGCTGGAACACGGTAGGCGTTCTATGTATAGGTGTTTTCAATGTAGAAACAAAATGCACAGTTCACAAAGAAAGCAGGCACGCAAAAAACAGTCTTGGCAGAACAACCTTTTGGTTTTGGCCTTCATCTTTCAAGGACGGTTTCATGTAGAGATCATAGGTGATGTGATCTTGACGTGCACCCTTGGTGGGTTTCTCACGAGGCTTGAAGGCGTTTATTTGTTCTACAATTCGTCTATAGGCAGAAAGGAAGCAATATTTTGGTGTTATTGGTTAGATGCAAGAAAGGTTTTCGAAGAAAATAAACGCGCACGGTCTTGCTGACAAACCAGAGTACTGTTTGCGTTTGTTGTCAAAACAAACAAATTTAATTCATGCGAGTTATGACTGCCACAAGACCCGGTGGTAGTTTGGTCCTCTTGGCAATTTCAATAGGTCTCAATAGGTCACGCTTCAAATGCAAACTTGGTGCGGTTACTTCCAACCAATTAACTGATAGCAAGCTAATTAAAAGTGACTTATAAGAAACTCTTTGTGATTTTCACTTATGCTTCTGCTTATTTTCGTTGAGTAGCATGGAAAATCTTTGGTAGAAAATTTTGACAAATGTAGTCGAGATGCATATAGTAGTTTAGAGTATGCATCCCCATAGGAGGACGTGAAAGTAGCTCCCTCGTAGGCTTCTTCTCGACATATCACTGTCATGGCTGGAATTCACATCTTCCTTTCACTCCCCATTTATTGCCCCTTAGCTGCTTTAATGTTGGAATCACGACCATGTGCACAATTTTGCTGTCGACTGCAGACCTGAAAAGTGTATATGCCCTTGATAAAATCTAAGCCCTATACTACGTCGGGTTTTTCCCTTCTACTGCATCTGATGCATCCAAAAACGATTCTCTCACTTAGGCTGTGGTGCCTGCTTCTTCACTTCCATTTTGTGGCTACGGGTCAAGCTATCAACCAAGAACTGTCGTTGGTAGAGGCCAAAGCCTTCTTGTGAGTTGTTTTTTCTTCTTATTTTTTACTATCCGTCATTCCAAGTGTACCTTTGCAAGAACTTTTCAGTCGAGCCTGTCCAGGAACATGAGCCTTTTGTAGGGATTTTGTTTTGTTACCAAATTCATGCTAGTATTTTGCTTCTCTTTTGAACATTAAAGGGCGTTGTTTTGCACGGCTTCTAGGTTGCGAGCTTTTTCCCATTAAACAAATATTGAGTGGTTAGACAACCTTTGGGTGCTTTTTCATTTAGAAGTGAGGTTTATGGATTAACCTTTGTCCCAATTCAAAACCTCGAATTTTCACCGGTCCCAGAGAGAGGTGTTCCTAGGTCTGAATTTATTTGAAGAGGGTATTACATTTCTTCCTAACTGCCAGCAGAAAGGATATAACAGCGCTGAAGAGGAAACAAAGGGAAACAGCGTCTCGAGATTCGATTTAAGTCTTATGGATACTTCAGTGTCATCATCACCGTCAGAGTACCAACCACATCCATCATCATCCTCGTGGCCGTCACTGTGGTTGCATGCTTAGCTCTAAGGCGTTGCGGTGAACAAAGAAGCGGAATCATATGAATCACTACTACTCACAACTACTCAATCAACTAAATTAAGCAAATCTGCCAAACCCGCTAAATAAATCATATCAATCACGACTCCCAGCAGTTATCACAAGAGCTGTTAATTGTAATACGCATGTGGTCGCGTGGCCACTAGGAACTTTAAATATTGCGCAATCCGTGCCTATATCACCCTCTTCTGTGATATTCTCTGGTGTTGAGTTCGAGCAATAATCACGACATTAAACTTCTTGTCCCAGCGATCGCATCTTCGCTTTCTGAAAAACGTTAATGCAAAATGCCGTCCAGAAAAGTGGGTTTCGGTTACAGTATTTATCAGCAAGACGCAATACTGTTCTCGAGATTTACAACGGAGTTTTCTTAGCTCAAATACTTGGTTAAAGGTAGTTAAAGTATGGATGGAGTGATCTTAGTAATACTTAAAACTGGGTGTAAGGGATGAACAGGAGCAGGCCAACTGTAACGTACACACAAGGTTAAAACCTGTGAAAACCAAATTCCGCAGCACATTCCAGTACGCTGCCCCATACCTTGACCATTAATAAAAAACTCATTTGACTTCTGAAAACCTCAGCCGGCTCGGTGGAACTAGAAACCACAAGTGCAAGGGGGAGGTTTCGGTACAACTAATGGTCTAACTACTTGAACTATGAGGCCTTACCGGAAACCCTGTGGATTCTAGACTAGTCGCTTGATCAATCCTACTGATACAGTCAGCTTGCTGTATCATAATTGGTGGATTCCATACGTTGCAGTAGGCTAGGCGGTAACTTGACTCAAGTGTGAGTAAACTCACAACCCACCCGTTAGGGACCTCCTAACTCTGGTGATTACGGTGTTAGTCGTATTGAAGCCTT